TCTAAACCCAGAGCTGTCTAGGGCCATCTTTGCCCTTGGTGTATTTAACAAGATGTTTTTGGTTAACACTGAAAATGCCATCCAATTTCCATATAAAAGCACATACTTGCCCCTGTTCTGCCTGTCCCACGATCCTTCTGTTTCTGGCTGACGGGACCGCGAGGTGCCAGTGACCTTATTTTGTTTTATTGTTTCCTTTGCTAAACAGAAGTATAACACCCACCCCTGAAACATCAACTGGACTGTACCACTCTGAGATGCATACTCTGAACAAGGAACGAAGCAAAACCAAGCTCTGTCAGTTCTAACCCTTCATTATCTCTAGATCCCTCTCCTCTGCTCCTCCTGACTTGCACTTCTTAAGGCCATTCCCTAACATTCTTGCTGGACAATTGCCCCCACACTGGTCTCATCCTCTAGGGTCTGAAATGCTCCAAACCTTCTCTTTACACTGGTGGAACAGTCAATCTTTCTAAAGCTTAAGCCCGATCACCCTTCTCCTGCCTCACACAGTGCAGCAGCTCTCCACTCTCCGAGTCAGATCTGTGACATTCACGATTCGGTCTCCCCCTGCACAACCCCTCCGTCTCCCTACCAAATTCTTTTTTAAAAAACTTAACTGTGGAGCTATTTCTGAGGTCATATATGCAGTACAGTGATTTCAGTTACCAAAATACCACCCCCAAAATGTGTTTTTAGGGAAATAATGGTACATCCATAACCTGGAATGCTATGTGGGAAATAAAAGTGATGTAATAGAATATTAGTAATACTACCTGAACCGTTGGAGGTATTGGGGAACTTTTACTTTATCCTTCACGCTTTTCTATATTGTTAAGATATTTACAATGAGCATCTGTTACTTAAAGGGAAAGAGCAGTTTTCCTTCTTTTAAAAATTGCTAGATGGTCCATGTTTATTGTGTGTGTTCTATCCTTAAACGCAGCAGGCCAGGTTCCGTTTTCCAGCCCCTCCATGTACACACTGTCCCCCGGGGAGTTACTTAAAGGCACTGAGTTGAACTTTCCTCATCTGTTCATACCTATATTACAGGGTCGTGGAGTTCTTTTGGTGAGTGTGTGAATATTAAATAACTTGCATTATGTTACAAATTTAATGGGATATTTTTAAACATTAAAACATTGCTGTTCTCCCACAATTTCTTCTCTCTGCGGTCTCTCCCCCACTCTTCAGTCAGCTTTCTGCAGACACTGTTCTGGGCCGGGGGGGGAGCAGCCGGCAGTGCCTGGGAGAGGACACAGCCACCCTCTGTACAAAGACTGTCCTTCCTCCAAGGGCATAATTAAGGCACGGAAATTCTGACTTTCACTTGCAAGGCTGGACCCAGGGGAGAGGTGTTTCTCTGACCTTCAGCCATCAGCTGACCCCAGAGACCAACCTGCCAGTCCGCCTAGACTAGAACTGCCCAGCTGACCCAGAGAATCATCAGAAATTTTAGAAAGTGATGTTTACTTCGAGCCACTGAATTTTAGGATCACTGATCACTGAGCAACAAATAACAGATGAGACTTCTTTTTTTTTTTTAAGTTTTAATATATAATTTTATCCATAAAGTCTGCACCATTAGTGATAAATTTATGATACTTATACAGTTTTGATTTTAAATATCACCTTTAAAATTACATTGTATAAATATCTGTTGTTGATGTTTAGGATGCAATTGATTTTTGGACGTTGAACCTTGCTAAATCTGTTAAGTCGAACACTTTATCCTTATTTTCTCCAGGGTTTTCTCTGTAGAAATCATTATTTGCGGTGTGACCCACGTGTTAATCACCAATATCTAGTGCATTAAATGAGGTGTGGAACGATGGCCTACACAGAGCTGCTTACCAGGCTCTGACTACAGAGCAAGTGTCCTCTCACCTGCGTCTGCTCACCGGTTTGCAGGGCAACTGGGCAATGGCCGGAAGGTCCGACGATGACACAGAGTCTCCCAGTGTCCCCTTCGACAGGCCGTTTTCAGTACAGGGAGCATTTCAGCTTCTTCTACTGGCCTGCATTTTGGGGAATGGCCCTGATGCTGTCACATAACTGTGATTTGCTTCTTTCATCTATGCTTTTTTTCTCTGTCATCTGTTCACTCTGATTTCCTTTTGCTACCTTCTTAATTCTCTCTCTCCCTCCCTCCCTCCTTCTCTCCCTGCCTCAACTCGTCCACTCCCTCTTTCCTGTTTCTTCCCACTCTTGGCCAAGCAAGGCACCAAAGAACAGAATATCAAACAACAATTTCAAATCATTGCCTCAAATCACATCTGCAATGTGCCCATCCCTACCTAATGCCACGGACTGGCAGGAATTTACCCCTGGAGAAAGCCAGACATCATCTCCCTAAAGATGATTATGGGCCTCCGCCCACCCTCCTGGAAGGTCCCCATGAAAGCAGCAGAATAGAGAGGTGTCACCAAAAAATGGACCAAAGTCCAAAGCCCTACAAAAACCAAGGCTTCCCTTTCTCTGTGAGATCTGCGCTTGGGGTGCACAGAAGCAAGGGCTGAGATCAGCCAGGCACCTGAAGAGAGAATAGGCTCCGAGGGTTGTTCTAAAGTCCCTGGACTTCTGACAATTAAATGAACTTTTAATCTGGCCTTCATCTGTCCTCTTAATCTCCGCTTTCTTTTTTTCTGCCACAAAACCCCCTTAAAGTCTCCAGGAGCACAGAATTCCTCAAAGTTCCTCCATGGACCACGTTCTCTCACCTGTGCGCGTCCCGCAGCTTCCTTGATTGTAAGTCAGCCCCACCCTCCCTACCGCTCGCATGCCCAGTCTCCAGCCCCACCAGGATGACACCTAGCTTTCCACAAGGCTTCCCCTGACACCCCTTTGCCTTGAACAGATCCTTGGCACAAACAGGTGCTCAATTCAGGTTGGCTGAAATGACTCAGTCACCTGGTTGTGACCACAAGCAACAGGAATTGGGACAATACAGGTCGTTAGGGTTGTGATGACAAGCACCCCTGACAGTAGAAGGAGTTTAATTCAGCGGGAAGTGGGGAGTGGGTTTCTGGGGAAATGCTGCTTTGGGCTCAGGATGGCAGACCTCCCAGCAGCCTGCTGCTACCTTATGACCCCTCCCTGGGGCTGCTCTGTCCTGATTTACAGAAGCACCTCTCTCCCTACTGAAAACGGAGAATAAACCACTCATTCTTGAAGACTTATCAGGCTGACTGTTCACCAGGGATGCTAATCCTATTACCTATAGCCAAAGGAAAGGAATCTTCTCTAAGGAACGAGAAATTGGGGGGAGGGGGGGATGCAGGGACAAAAGTCCAGAAAGAGGTATTTTATTCAGATGGCTCATGACTCTCCCAAGCGGAGCCAAGTGGAATACAGGAATGTAAGAACACAGTTCTCTCCATGTTATTCCTTGAAGTAATGGTACTTTCTTAAAATGCTGGTGTCAGAGGATTAAAATCTCCCAAATCTATAATGTAATCATGAAACAAGGAGAGAAGGGTGCTATGCCATGTGAGACAGTATGGATGGCTCCATACAACACCACCCCCACCAGAAAAAACAACTGTGCCTCCTATACAGCCCATTAACCAGCGCCAAAAAAAATAGATTCTGCCCTAAAAAATTCAGTCTAGTGGAGCAAATATGCTATCAGTAAACATTGGGCACTGCCAGATTTGTTGACCATTTTAATTTCAAGAATCGTAAGAGTCCACTATATAGAAGAGTCATAAGAAGGTGGTAACCATTGCTCAGAGGAATTACGAAGATTAACAATATCCACTCTAAATCAATAATATTGCATACTATTAAGTAAAGGGCTGATAAATGCTGACCCCAGGATATGAAAGTAGGGTGGTGGGACACACTAGAGAAGACTTCTTCAGCATTAGATGCTCACTCTCTCTTCAACTAGGTTACTAGAAAGTGAATTTACCTCCCATTGACATAGACGAACAGGTAAGGAGAGGAAACCAATTCGGACTTGAACAAACCAAAATAAACAAACAAAAGCCCCAAAGAAGACCCAAAGAAGAAAGCCAATAGCCTGGCAAATTTGTTGGACATGACAGATTCAGGAATCTGAGTCCCAGCCTTGGTTACTGGGAAAACAGTGCCGAATCCAAGGCCCCCCAAAAGCAGGTCTGTTAATTATACATCATAAAACAGAGGCACACTGTTTTTAATCATTTATCAAACACGTTAAGAGGAAATGGAACATTAGCAGTGAGCTTCTTAAAGTGTAACTTCCTATAAGAGAAATTTATAGCCTGCACTTGATCTCCATTAGAGTACCTCTAACTTCTTTTATTAGTTTATTCATCAAGACAGCCCTAGGTTCAGGCCAGCTCTGCAAACCTGCGGGTCATCAAGAAAGGGGTCTCCAGGGGAGATTTCCTCCTGGTCCAGTAGAGTTTCCCAGATCATAACACAGTCGACAGAAGTAGTCACGGTGCATTCAGCAAGAGGTTTTTAGGTATTCCCCAAAAGGCAATTCACAGAGCAAGCCCTAGGGGCTACACTGGCTATAAAATGAACATCTAAAATGTACTTCGAAATGAAATGATTTTCTGTTTGCCATATGAGGTTTGTGATTGCCTCTCAAAAAGCATTGCTTCTATTGCTTTTACAGCCAGGTTCAATTTCTTATTTAGTGATGTAATAAAGGAGTGATTTAGACCTGAGAGTAAGGACTTCCGAATCAATGAGCAGATGTATCCCTCATCCGCTGTGCACCTCTCCCCATGATGCTGAGCTCATTTCCTGATTTCCAGGCAACCCGCACAGTCCCCCAAAGTGGGGACACAGGCACAGCTGTTTCTCTCTCTTTACCACAGAGTCCCCAGCCCTGCCAAAGAGAGAACCCAAATCCTACTCTGGGTTTTCTTCAGATCTCTGGGGTGCATCACTCTTTCTGTGAATAATGGAACTTTGACTTTCCTATGATGAAAGCAAAACACACCTGATATTTACAACTTGGCATTGGGGACCAGAATGGGGGTGGGTGGGGGAGAACATCCTACCTTGTTTTAAGGATATTCAGAAACTGCAAAATCTCTGAAAACTGGATCAGTCTGAGAGCTCTTAAAAATCTCAAACCTGGAAAGAGAAATGAGAGAGAGATACATTATTTTCAGTGTGTAATGTTAATGTTCACAATCTGGTGTGTGATTTATAGCTGCCAGGGTTGAAGGAAGATGGAATTCTTATAGAAGATTGAATGATCAGTATCTTGGACAAAGTCCTTCATCCTGATGTCTACTGGTTTACCCTCAGCTGCTAAACTGACTCTCATCAAAGGAGGCGTGTTTGGAACCACTGTGAAGGAAGGTCTGGTGGGGAAAGTCTTATTTAATGAGGCCTCTCCTGTGTCCATCTCTGATAAGGCACTATTTCATCTTCTGAAAGGATTTGTCTCTGAAAATTACTGGAAATAGCTCAGGGTAACCCTTACACTAAGGGCGGATTAGGAACAAATTGGATAACCTGATGTCTTTGATGGATTTTTAAAATCTTTATCTTCAGTCCTAATCAAATGAAGAGCAAGGCCCACAGCATTATCTGTTTTCTAAGATCTCACACCAGATAACTTCAGGATTCAAAATTTACATAATCCCACTTTTACTAAGTGTCACCACAAATGTTTCTCCTCTCTATATCAACAACTTCTCTTCAGTGGAGAACAAGAGCCAGTGTCTCTAGGTGGCAGAAGAGAGAGTAAAACATGGGGAAAAAAACACAATCAAGGATCAGAGAAAATTCAAATGACTGTTATTCCTTAATAGCCAAAATATATTTCTGTTGACAGCAAATCAGTGAGTCAAAAAACACTCTGAGTCACTCATGGGATTTTAACGCTGTGCTGTTGTGCAACAGACTTGCTCACTGATGACGCCAGCCTCAAGACACTTTCAAAGTCACCTCCTCTTTCAGAGGGATTTTCTTTTGCATATTTTCCTACAGCATTTTGATTCACTGCTCCCACGTGCTGTGGGCTCCTAAGCACCAAGTGGGCTACGAAGTTGACAGTAGTGAGACTTTATTCGGACCCCGCATGTGAAGAGGGGGCATCTACTGCACAGTGATGGGAAGAAGTGATGGCGGTTCACTAGACACCCCAGGATGAATCAAGGAAAGCAGATAGACCGGAAGTTCCCCCTAAACAGCCCCATGTTGGGCCCAGTTAGATTACTCCTTGTTCAAGCCTAAGGTACAGGAAGAGCCCACTCAAAGCCCACGGGAGCAGGGAAGGCTGGGATCACACTGCACAAGAGGGAAAAAAGGATAATGGCTCAAAGGGGAAATTTCTCATCTGAATAGGATTTACCTTCATGAACAAAAAATGTTCTTCAGAAAACATTTGCCTTCTATTTTAAATGATGTTTATATTACTTTTATTATAAAAGAAAGTGAAGAGATGAGAAGGGATGTTGAGGAAATGAAAAGACTCAAGAGTCCAAAACAACAGAGTCCTAACCAAACTGATGAAAGGTTGACTTAACACTGACGAAAACTGAAATTGATGCTGAGGACAAAATTGAGATGTCATCTCAGAAAGCAGAGAAAATAAGGGTGGGGGGGGGCAGATGGAGCTTAAGAAAATAAAAAAGGAGAGAAAATCATAGAGATCCATCCTATGAACAAAATGTGTTGCAAAGGGAAGTACAAATGAGATTGTAAGTACAGCCAGGAAATTATAGGAATGAACTTTCTAGATATGAAAAAGTGACTCTAGATTAAAAGGTGAAATGGATGGCTGGTGCTTAGAAACCAATGCCATAAAATATATGACTTCTTTTCTCTATAAACATCAAGCACTAAATTTCAAAATAAAAATAAACTGTCAGGGTGGGAAGAGGATTACCATTGATGCAACTAAGATCACATTATATTCAATATGACAGTGAGTTTTGCATGACAACTGAGCAACACTCAGAATTTTAAGACAAGGAGAGTCAGGCCCCAGATATGAGTACCCAGCCAAGGCCACAAAAAATATTTTCAAATATCCAAGGTCTCAGAAAATACATTGTTTGTGCAAAACTATTTTCAAAGACGTTTGCAGGCCTTATTCAATCAGAATGAGTAGCGGGGGCTGGAAAGTATATTTTTAACAAATTCTACTGCTGGTCCTAAGCATCTAGCCCAACCAAGATGGCTGATCTCACTCCAGCACCACTGTCTCATGCTGCTGGGAGAGAAGATAACACATTTAGAAACTTGGGTCTGGCAACACTGAAGCCAGCCAGGGACAGAAGGATTATTTAGCAATGGTTTCATCTTGAAAATCCTCTGTGTGTGCGTGCGTGCGTGCATGCGTGCGTGTGTGTGTGTGTGTGTCTGTGTGTCTGTGTGTCCGTGTATCTTTTTCACTTATGGAAGGAAACAAAAAACAGAATGTAAATCTTAAACTTCAAACTGGATTTCTTTCTTTTTGTCTTTAAGCAATGCCACTTGCATCCTGTATTGTTTGTGTGTAGCTCGCCACTCTTTAAAGTGATACAAATATACAGTAGAACAAAAGCTTTTCTTTTAATTGAGGTGTATGGAAATAAGGGTAGGAAAAAAATGGATGCAGCAGCCACAGGTCCTGTACTCTTGCTAGATGTAAACTATAGTCTGCTCTGCACAGTTTGCCTACCAAAGAAGGCAGGAAGACAATAAGATTAATGATGTATAACAGAGGAAAACAAGCTGGCTCTCAGGAGAATAGTCATCCCAGGGTGGAAACCGAGAGAAATGTCCCTGCAACAGGGACCCAGGGATAGAGAAGCAGCATTCTCATTGGTGAAACAACAGTGAGCTTTGTTTATTTGATGGCCTTGTGCTGGTCGTTTTCATGGCTTTCGTGTTCATGAACACAATGAGGTAACACAGTTCCACATGGGTTAAAAAAACCGGTCTACGTTTTATCCCGAGATCATGCCAGACTAGCTGGAGAAATGGCAGCCTGAAGCATCTGTCCTTCAGGCCAGAGTTCACAGCAGCTCCCTAACTGCTTTCTGCCCTGGACTCCTTATGGTCTATTCTCAGCACAGCAGCCAGACTGCACCTGTTAAAAGGTAAAATGGATCATGCCAGTCCTCTGCTCAAAGTCCTCCAATGACCCCCATTTCACACAAAGTCAAAGTCCTTCAAAGACCTAGAACAGGGCCACCCCCATCTCCTTTTGGCCTCTTCCTCCTCGTCCTCGTACTACTTTCCTTCTGATCTTTCTTCAGTGACCCGGGACTGGGAAGGCACGCTGCTGCCTCAGGTCCTTTGCACACTCTGTCCTCTCTGCCTGGACATTCTTGCCCAGATGTCCACATCATGCACCCCCTCACCTCCTTCAGGTGTTTACTCAGTGAGACCTTCCCTGGTTACTCTATCCAAAACTGGAACTCTCCCTCACTTCCCCCTGCCAGAGGAGGCAGTTAGTTGTTAACAAAAGAGAAGGGAGCAAACTAAGCCTCATTAACTTGGGAAACAGCAGTCTCAGTCACCCCAGCATCTTTTTTGTACAATATCATGTTTTACATTCACGGGGGGGTTGGTAAGGAGGGGGGATAACCTGCATCATTCAGTTGGATTAACAAGGGAAAGAAGAAAGAAGCAAGGGAAGTTCATTTTTACTAAGAGGCCAAAAGGGAGACCATAAAAGGGGGAGGCACTAACCTGGGAAAGTCTGAGAAAAGGATGAGATTAGAGAAGGGCACGAGCCCCTGGAAAACCCAGGAAAGAGACCGAATGGGGGAGGGCACCAGCACAAGCCCAGGAAAAGCCAGGAGAGAGACTGGACAGTTTGAAAGAAAGCCTGCTGCTTTGTAAACCCAAGGAAATATATGGAAACTGAGCTGCCCGCTCTCTCTGCCTCTCCGAGAATGTACCGTCACTTGTCAATTTTCACTCTAATAATTCTTGCCATTATCACTAAACTCCTCCTCTGTGAGTATTCCTGAAATTCTTTCCCTGCAACACCACAGAAAAGTCCATTTTCTCCGGTAACACCCCCATCTCTTTATTTCTCTTGCCTGCTTTTTTTCTCCTCAGTATAAAGCACATACATCTTATTTATGTAATTTGCTTTCTTTCTACTTAGCAACAGCATCAGTTCTATGGGCAGTGGCGGGGGGGCGGCGCTGATATCTGTTTTGTTCATGGCTGTATTTCATAGCCCTAAGTTAGTGCCCAGCATAAGGTGGATGCTCAATAAATACCTGCTTGAACTGAACGAATAAATCAGATTTGAGAATGAATTAGATGACAGAGAGCTAAAGGTCAGAACTCTGCACTGGAAACGACACATTACTTACTGAAGGGAAAAGCCAAGAGCTCTGAGGTCAGGGCCGATGCTGTTAGGTAATATAAAGCAGCCTCACCAGAGAAGAGCGTTAACCACTGGTCACTCTGCTGCCCCCAGAGAGGGCGCAGAGGAATACGGACAGCAACTCAGATTACATAACGGAGGCCAAGAAAATAGAGAGGTAGGATAGTCGTGCCTAGTAACAAATTATTCATCTTCTTTGCTTCATAACCCAGTATTTGTATTACTTATGCCATATAATTCAAAATATCTGAAATAAAATGACCTTCTATGGAAGCAGAAAAATGGCTATAACAGAGTTGCGAACAAAGCATGTATGTACCAAAAAACATGAATTATGCTCCTCCAAAGGTACCAGGTCCAGATGGTTTTACAAGTGAATTCTTTCAAACTATCAAGAGATAGAAAACTTCCCTACATAGTCTTGGAGTTATTGTCAATATTAATTATATAGCAATAAAAATAGATTTTTCTCTTTCTTTCCATACTCTGTATTGGTTTAGAAAGCAGGCATTAAGCTGCACACAGGTAGCCCACACATTCAAAGAAAAAGGGATGCTCACCACACTAATGACTAAATGTAAGATTCCTAAATAAAATACTAGTATATCATATCATATGTGAGACTATATTAGATGAATAACACACAGGAGCTGTGGTGGCTATTGTGGGATACAATCTAGACCCCTTCTGTGGGGACCTTTACTTATCCCAGCTCCTAAAGAGTGGCCTCACCCAACATTATACCCCAGCCACAGTTGGCTGCCAGAACTAGTAAATGTGGAAACAAAGT